TTCCTGCTTGGTAGAGGTGCTTCTTCAAAGTCCTCTTCCAGACTCAAGGGATCTTTGCAACTCCAAAGAGGGTATCCTGCCTTTTTAACCCTTTGAGGGTCCAGCCACCCACGAGGTCTTAGTTTCACAACAGTCTGAGTCTAAGGCAGTTTCATGTACGTTTCCGTGCTCAGCAGCACAAGAAGTTGCTGACATCATGGCAAAGACAACAGAAGGGCCGCTCATGGCTCCTCTCTCTGACTTGGCATCTGAGTGGTCAGCACACTTAGACGTCGCTTGACCCATCTTTCCAGCCCCTCTCCACCTCTTAAGGGCTTCAGTCCTCTCCTCTGGAGTCAGTCTGTCCAAGTGCTTAGCCCTCAGGAGTGGAGACGGAAACAGGGATCCCTGAAGAACTCGGTAGATAAACCTAGGTTACAAAAAGCATCACGGAATTACCTTCACCTCAAATGCATCCTAGGACACAAAAAATACTCACCAGTTAGAACTAGTAGAAGGGTGGTCTGGTGGCCCCCTTGAGGTAAAGGGGGAGGAGAAGCAAAATATAAAATAGAAATGACAACAATATTAAATAAATTAATATTTGTAAAGCACTTAAGAAGTAGTGAGTGCCTTATGAGTGCTTGTTAAACAAATAAACAAAAATGTATAATAGTAGAGATACCAACAGTGCTGCATCATAGGTGTAATGTTAGGTTAAATAAGAAAGTACATGTAAAGGAGGCAGTGTTGGCACATAGCAAGGGTTCAAAAAAAATGTTAGCTATGAATGGCTTACAGCTACGGTAACAAATTACCACAAACTCATCCTGCAGCTGGCAGTGTTTATGCTGTTATAGCATTCTCAAAAGCCTGTGGGTCACCAATGTATGTCATGGGGATCTATGCCATTAGATAAGAGGGTCTTCCACAGATCTTTCTTGTATAATCCCATCTCCTCTCTTGAAGGCTGTAGAGATGGTAGAGCAGGGGTTCTCAACCTGTGGGTCGCGACCCCTTTGGGGGTCGAACAACCCTTTCACAGGGGTCGCCTAAGACCATCGGAAACCACATATAATTACATATTGTTTTTGTGATTAATAACTATGCTTTAGTTATGTTCAATTTGTAACAAGGAAAATACATCCTGCATACCAGATATTTACATTACAATTCATAACAGTAGCATAATTACAGTTATGACGTAGCAACAAAAATAATTTTATGGTTGGGGGTCACCACCACATGAGGAACTGTATTAAAGGGTCGCGGCATTAGGAAGGTTGAGAACCACTGTGGTAGAGGGGTCCATGAGTCACACTCCTAATCTCTAGCAAAAGGTCGCCCAGCCATACTCCTGGCCTCTCTAGAGCATACTCCAAAGAATCAGTCTCCCGATTTTAGCAACTTCCGAAATCTGGACAGGCTGAGGATTTCCTAAATCTATTTCCTTTTAACTTCAATAGATCTTCCTTCATCTCTTTTCTCTCACAGTTTATCATAAGCAACAAGAAAAAACCAGGTCAGACCTTCAACACTTTGCTTGGAAATCTCCTCAGCTAAATATTCAAGTTCAAAATTTACAAAGTCTGCTTTCCACATAATAGTAATGTTTTTCAGCTACATTTTCTGCTGCCGTATTGCCAAGATCCATTTACCTTAAATTTCCAATAACTTGTTCCTAATTTCATTTTGAGTCTTCACCAGCAGTGCCTTTAACTCTCACATTTCTAGCCATGTCCTGTTTATGATAATATATGTATTTTCTAGGTTTTCCCTCTCATGCTTTCCCACTTTCTTCTGAGACCTCACCAGCAAGCACCAATGTCCATATTTCTATCTTAGTTTGTTTAGGAAGTCCCGTATTTCTCTATGACGTGCCTCAAAATTCTTCCAGTCCCTGCCCAGTACCCAATTTCAAAGCCACTTGCACATTTTTGAGTATTTGTTATAGCAGCACCCATCTTCCTGGCAGCAAAACTTACATGTTTCCTGAGGCTGCTGTAACAAGTTACCACAAACTTAGCAGCTTAGAACAACAATTTATTCTCTCATAGTTCTGAAGGCTGGGGATTCTGAAAACACTTCCACTGGGCCAACTTGAATGTTCCAGAAGGCCTATGCTCCCTCTGGAGGATCCACTCCTTGCTTCTTCCGGCTCCCAGGGGCTCTCAGCATGCCTGGGTTTATGGCAAAGGAAACTCTGGCTCCCTGGTCACAGTGCCTTCTCCTCTTTTGTCTGGTCAGATCTCCTTCTGCCTCTCTTTTCTTTTTTAATTTTTTTATTATTTTTTTTATTTTATTGACTTTTACAGAGAGGAAGAGAGAGAGAGAGAGAGAGAG